GATAATAAGTAACTCGCACAACTCCTCAAGTTACAGCACACAAGCACAGATATGAGTAAAGAACTCTTTGATTAGTGAGTTGCTTTGAAATTCAAATAAGAATTAAAAAATACTTTGTCAACTTATATTATATTTTGGATCCCAAGAGAGAAATATTGATAACTAAAACCAAATTAATCCGACAGATGGCCGTATTTTTCGCCCCATGTCACAGTGGACTTTAAACGTTGAATTCAAGTCATCGGGCAGTCGTGTCTGTTATGAACATTAGTATACCATTGACTCTTGTTTAGTCTAAATATGTGTACCAGTTTATGTATAAGCGTTTCTTATTAGGCGGGTGGTTTGCTTGCATGGCGCTTTTATGTATTATTTACGATAATTTTACTTTTATGTTTAACGTTTATAAATTGCGAGGCTATTCTGAATAGCAATAAGTAGGTATTGGCCATCTCGCAAATACCCTAGGACCTCCACATCGCTGTAATGTGCATAGCGTAGCCACCACATTGCTCTGTAGACTAAATCTACAGTAGTGTACGTATCTGGTGTATTCTATACACTATTATTACAGATGGTTCTCCGAATCAGCGTACGCAGATTTCAGGTGCGGGAAACGACTTATGGCGATAAACAAATGCATCGCTTTCCCTTTCTTTTTTTTTTAGATATATTAGCAGCCGCAGCCGCAGCTATAGCTTCATAAGTCGATAATAGGGCCAAGAGCACAGTACGCTCGTAACTGAAGGACTTATAGAGCTACTGAAGGTATGCTCCTAGCTGACAGATATGTTTTAGGGTTTCAAACACCGACCAAGCCAAGCCAAGCAGGGGATTAAAAATATTTAAAAATAGCATTCGGAAATATACTTAAACGTAAATATATGTTTCAAATCCGCGACTCTTTTACCATCTACCAATGGTGTCGATTGTCGGTTATATGGACAATAGAACGTAGCAAAAAGACATAACCTAATAGAAACCACCATATTTAATTCCTGGTGAATAAATGGTATGTTTTAATATTTTCATACTATACAATTTTCCAGTGCCTCGCTAGGGTGTACTCTAGTACAGGCAGGAGCGGCATTCCACCGAGATACATTAAAAATAGTGCTTGCTCGGCATAATTATGTCACTTACACATGAATGACGTGCAGAGAATGATTCTTGCATGTCTTTCACTAAGTAAGGAAACTGGTTGTAGTCAGAGTTCTATAAATTTTAGAAGCTCTAAGAATTAATAATTTAAACCACAATAATAGAATATTAATAGGAGGATATCTTTGTTAGTTACTTAACAATTGACTGTAAAATGTTGTACAATTCTAATATTTCTTTCTATGGATTGGTATGACAGAGAATTAATAATTCATTGATATTAATAATTTTAGCAATAAAATCATAAAAATTATATTTCAAATTGAAAATCTCACGTTCGTCTCCCTGTAATAGTAACTAATTGAAATAAATAGCCTGGTAATCACGTAAATATAGTTCTAGCTAATTCATAACCAGTAAACCGTACTATTTTTAAATTGATGATTCATTACCGTACAGAATTCATCATAAACATGCTTGCCAGGCCAGCCATTGTAAGTAGGTACGCACACTAGTCTGATAGTTTTTGCAACTAAATATAATCTAAATTGTTTTGTCTGCTCACCCACATAGGGGTTCCCTTCTCCGCGACCCTAGAGGAAATGAATCGATATCACGACCTTGGATCACCCGAGTGGAACGTGCGAATAATTTGTACTAAATAACGTGGGGAGCAGGGACTGAAGCCTTACCTACCGGATGTAATATAATGAATTACAAAATACAATTTAGGGCTATAAAAAAATGACAATGCATCAAATACTTAGAATATGATTAATAAGATATAGGTACTATATATCTCAGAAACATTTACGGGAAAATAATCTCTATAAAGCAACAGTAATATTGGAAAACAGATGTACTTATTAATTCATACCATCCGAAATTGTTACTTTGTCAACTCCTAAGTGCTGCTTGAAATATTAAGGATACGAAGATCCATCTCTATTTCTGTTTCTGACGCACATTTAAATTATTTACTCGTTGACAGAGGGAGGGGAGTTTTCTCCCTCGTGGGGAGCCTCGAAGGCAATAAACGGTTCGCCAGCAAATGTTATCATTGTCTATTAATTCAATGTAGGTGTGGTTACAGGCAAGGTTGTATATATTGAGACTATGCGAGTTATTTCTTTTTGTAAATGTTACAGACTTTTATGAAACATTTTTTATATTATTCTTAATAGATGACTGGAATAATGTGTAAGTCTTCGTTAGAGGTATACTCTGGCCGGGCACTACTTAAGGGTGATAGGAAGTGTATAGACTCAAGTTAGGTAGTTATCATGGCAAATTGCTCTGGAATTATCTACGATGGTTTCCAGAGGGAATCGCGTTACTACTCCTTATTATTAACAATGAATGACGTCTATTATATCCTTACACTATATTTCAAATTTAAATGCCATGAGTATGTTATGATTAGAAATTCATCTATATCGAGAGTAATCAAAAAGGAAGTTACAGTAGAGCAGTAGAATTTATGAAATAACAGATTTTACGGTCATGAATTATTAATAGTAAGTAATTACGTTCCATATTGTTTGCAACGTTTTGCTCTGATGCTTACGTCAGCCATTTATACACAGCATTATTATAATGATCTTAAAAATATTAGACAGTTTCTTAGTGACTTACTGTTTCATATTTTTTCAAACATCTTTTATTCATATTTTCGCCTCGTTATTTACTAGACAGTCTTGATGAAAAAGATAATATTTCGAGATTATAACAGCATTGGGTGTGTGGCGATGTGTAAAAAGTAAATTGGAAGCGTATGTGAAAGCGTAGATACACAATACAGTTGACAATCTCGTTTTGTATTAATGATGAAACTGCATACTGTGAAGTGCGATGCCATTTACGGTGATAGATAACGGCGATCGAATTAAACTGACGACGGACGGGTGTCATTGAGAAATATAGTTCCACATATTCTCATGTCTTACCCACTTATCACCATTCTGTAACCACAACATTATTTTCTCCTGCAACAACGGATTCAAAGAATTTATTTCATTCTAGCTGCATAGCGGTACCTATGTTATATGCTGATAATATTGTTCAAGTATTGTTGGAGTTAATTCATCACACATCTTTCCTCTATATAATATTAGTATTATTTGTATATAATAGATATCTAATGTAAACATGATTGTTATATTGAGCAGTTAAATTGCAAAGTAAAATTAAACGTTACTGTTTAGAGTGTTTGTTAAGTACATAGGTGCATTTGTGTGTTTTGTTTAAATTTATTTCTATTTTCGCATGGAAGGCGAGTATCGCCAGTAGTAATTTTAACTTAATAAAGCCCAAGCTTAACGAATCGACCTATCAATTTCTACAAATAATAGTACATTCACCTCTGTTTATTATCGATTCCAAGAATAGTATCGGAGCCAGTTATCAAGCTTCTCGTCTAGACAGAAGAGGCTATAGGCAAGAAATATCTAGCGTGGACGGAATGTAACATAACCTCATTGCGTACTTAACAATCTAATTTATGACTATTCCATTCAGAACAACAATTTATTGAATATTTTTATTATATTGTAGTGTAATTAGCATGTTCGAGAAGACATAGTGCTGACAGTCCCAAATGGATATTAAGACCTGTAGTAATCTAGTAGAACATGAACTGCACCACGGACATTATCAAATATCATAAATTACTTTGTGAGATCCGTAGTACTTAGCCTTTAAATAATATTCCTGAGGTCTATGGTGTCACCATAATATAACTCGACAAAATATCCTGCTGAATGCTGAAATACTTGAGAGAGAGGTCTGCGAAAAAAGTATTTTTATTGAACTGCTAAAAAAAGGAATATATACCTTGGGCGTATTCTAACTCCTACATCTAGATACTGGTTTACATATTCAGTATCTCCGCTCATATTTAGAGTACTTACCAATACGTGAAATGTGAAAGCATTTTTATGTCTTTCTACTGCATAAAATGCAGGAAGTTCAGTTTTACCGAACAGATTAACACCAATGTTTACAGAGTTTTCTTGGCACCCGCTCCCAAGCTATTAGGTTAAGCGGTGAGCGATTTATGTTTCAAGCGATCTAATTACATGCAATCTTACACGAAAGTAGGTTCTACGTTAGAAATAGATATAAGTTGTTATTGATTCAGTGCATTTGTTTGGGTTTTCGACTATTAACTCTGGGTTTTGTACTTTACTTCGCTGTTAACACATGTGTTTGACGTTTAAACTTTTAAAAGACGTATCATTGTCTATATGAGGTTTGTTACCTGTAAATTCAGTTTCAATATTAAATTTTAATTTCTATTGTAGTTAGAAAAAATCTTCTATTTATAGAAAATCTTAATTCAGTGTATAACTTGATCTAGAAATCAGTTTTGATGGGTTGTAACGAGCTTACGACAATTACCTTAAAAATGTATGAGAATCAAGTCATATCTCTCAAATACAATAGCGTGTCTCAAACAAATTTAGAGAAACGAAGTCATACTTACGCTCCGTGACTTACTACAAGAGAGATAAACACCTCAGTGTTGTCTTGTGGAGAAATTGTATTCAATGTAAAATTTGTTTAATCCAAATAACTAATGATATTAGATATTTTTATAATGGATGATACTGGAATGGTGCTCCCGCCTGCGCTAACAGATTTACTCTGGCGGGGCACCACCAGCGGAGCATGACAAGATTAACTTGAGGTCGGCCAGTTAGCCTTTTGTGGTAAATTAACGGGGAATTTATCAGGGGAACCGCAAGGAGGTCGACATGACATAGTATATTGCTAGCAATGTGGTCATAACATATCTATATTACTAAAAATTACCTTCGCCCCAATGGTAGAGATTTGGCTAAACCATCGCTCATTCAATGGCGTCTATTACATAATAACCTTTGTATCATTGTCTACAGCTCAAATCAACTGACGGATCTGCCAAGAGAAGTATGTCAGATGCCACTTCAGGTTCTTCTTTTACAAGACAACTTGCTAACGAGCCTTCCAAAGGAGATTGGCAAGATGTCGTCGTTAGCCGAGCTGGATGCGTCCAACAACAGACTTACGCAGATCCCCATGACTCTGGGTGACTGTGCAGGCATGCGAGCATTAGACCTAAGTAACAATCAGCTGGGACTGTTACCATTACGTACGTATATCTGAATTGAATATTTTTAATTATCTTGGCCTATGTTAGATCTTTAGCTCTAGATACTGCAGACTAAAAGATGACATATGAAATGTTAGAATGAATGCTTTAGCGTAATTATATAGTCATTCATGTTTTGTTTAGTATCTAATATTTTGCAATGAAGGTTATGTAGATCCATAGCTAGTATTTCTCTACATTGCAATAGCTATATAGCTTATGCAGACAGCGGGGTTTATAAATTCTTGTTGAACTATAATAAATATAGCGTCTAATGAATATATGTAAGTTTATAGTATACTGAATAGATTATTATTTAAGCTTGTCTCTCCTCGATTCTCCGCACTCTGACTACGTAATGCTTAAACGCCCTTAAAATGTTAACCTTTACATATTAATTTTAACTAATCAAAAATGTATATTTAACTACTTCCAAGTTTGGATCTGAATCCCTTTGTGGTAACACGCCCACACAAGATTATAAGGGTCGGAATGACGTTACCGAGCCAACCTACGCATATTTATGTTAGCTAAAACTATTCTGACACATTTTTTAATATATTCTCTTCTTTATGTAATTTCATTAATAGCATAATTAGGTAGATAATAACTAGTTCTATAATTACATAACTACTACCACTGTATGTAAATTGAATGATGATATTAACTTTTAAAAGGCTTTTACTATCATTAGCTGCATTATTTATTTCGTAAAATTTAGGTTATGTACCTAAATTTTGTGTGTGTGTTAGTGGCCTAATAGAAATTATTAGAAATGCAAAAACTATGTCGTTTAGTTCTGAACTTCTCGACAAGACTATGCTTTTTTATTGTTTTCATATATTTTTTACTCTTAATGATGATGTTGTATTTTCAGAAATTACATATTTAAGACTGGAATATCTGGACGTCAGTTGCAATTGTATTTCGTCGCTTCCCTTGGAAATGCGAAATATGACCACGCTCATCACATTAAATCTAGACAACAATCCCCTCGTATCACCACCCACTACTGTAAGTTTAATGTCTGTTTTACCTTCATCCTACATTGTTTAACCTATTAACCTTTACCTCTGGTTTTACATTTGCAGTTCTAAGGTCAATTCTATACCATTTGTCACTTGAATATATGATGAATCTTAAAGATTAAACCTAGCCTGCCCTAGACCTTCAAATACATTGAACGTTTGTCATTGAAATTTTTTGGTCTATAATAATATTTTATGATTTTTCAATTATAATCATTTGAGCAACTTCTAAATTATTCTTATGAATTGTTAATTCTTTTGATATTTTAAAATTTGTTTGTTTTTCTGTGCTTGTTACACTTTTCGTTTTTTTATTGTTATAATTCTACTTTATTTTGATATTAACACGTAAAATTATTATTCAACTTTTAGAGTTTAAATCACATAGTTATTTATATAACTTTAACCTGTTTTCGACGATTTATTTTCATGAAAACGACATGATAATAGTGGTCATTTGTATGACACGATGATATCACTTGGCACAATATTATCCTTGTTGTTTACTAGCTTACCTCCACGCACTAGTGGTAGCATGTACCTGAATGTAAAATCATCAATATGATGCACGGTTATAAAATGAATTTAATTAGTTTCCGTTGATGTGTTGATGGCCATTCCACATGTGAATAGCTGTTTGTGATGGTAATTTCCATGACAATATTATTACAAGTACTTAAAAAAAAATGATTTTTTGTAGGTATGGTTAACCGTGTGCCGAAAAAATATTTTAACAAATATAAGTATTCTAGTTTATGCTTAACGCAACATATAAATAGACTTATGAATTCGGAATTTGGTAATGGTCCATACTCACAGTGATAGTCGAAATACAGTCTATTCGAAAAATTCTGACATAATACGACTGGTATGGATTATAAAAAAAGAATGTGTGCACAGTTCACGTGAGGGAATGTTTAGTATACATACGGCAACAAGTAAGAGAGTAGGCATTATTGTATTTTTCACACAACTTAAAATATAAGTGCAACTGCAGTTCTTAAGTCTGACTTCTCGTTGAGCCTAGTAAACGCAGTAAACAACTCATATCCTCCTACAAAATATACTTTTAATGTAATATACTTTTAAATAGCATAGCCTTTTTAAGAAATGTATATAAAATTTCACATGTTTCAGATTTGTATGCGCGGGCGTGTGCATATATTCAAATATTTGGAGAATATGGCGAATAAGGATTCCTTGCCAGCGCACAGAAGGGTTGAGGAGACAAAACGAACAGCTAAACATAGCTCTTATATCAGTACCTCACCCAACCAGAGTACTACCCACCAGATTTCGTCTGGCAACGCCACGATAGACTGTCTTCGGCACAAGCCCCGCCATGTTATTGATAGTGGATACTGCACCGACGGCGTGGATAAGAGGTGGTCCAATGACGGTGAGGAACTGTTTTATATAATTTGTTTCGGATTTATAGTTTTTCTTTGGCTTTATGTCTTTGCTTTTCAATAAATGTTTATTATGTTTGATACTGTTCTGGTTAAGTATATAATTAATTTGATCACTTTTAGTGTTAATATAAGTATACTTAAATAATATATAATCACTGCACTTTTTCATTCCCAACATGTCTTAATTAGGGCAAAAAAGCTCATAACACAAACGGAAGAGAGAGAAACTGTAATATTCCAATTTGCTTGACAGTGGTAATTGATGGTAACTCGTATGGGACCCTATGGGACTCTTACTGACGCTGATATTTTAGTGGGTTAATGTAACTATAATTCATCGCTTATATAGTGTACTTAAAAATGAAATGCTACACACTGTTTGATATTTTCTTACAATCTTCCCTTTATCCCTAAATCTCTAAATATATCACTACTGATATAAATTATATAAATGCCGTTACTCTTTCATATATAAGTATGCAAATTAGGTCAAATACGACTGATATCATGCTTCTTAAATACTTATTATATTGCGTTATCAGTTTTGTTTGCTAACAAACTTATATTCTTATTAACTTCATTTACCGTTTAATACCCGATTAGTGGTTGGTATACTCACACAAAAGATTGTTATTCATTAACTTTATAATGATGTAATATATATGAATATTATAAAAAATGTATTTACCATTAAATGGATAAGGGAGAGGACGATAGAAAAAAGTATTGTGTAAAAGATGATATGTATAAAAGAGGTGTGCTCAGATATAACGACTGATAGGCATCAGTGGAACAAGATGACATACTGCGCCGATACGAAAAATTTAAAGAAGGCCAAGGCATAACGCTATAATTAATATAAAATGCCGTTTTAGTCTCAAAATTTCTAAATATGTGACACTAGGGTGTCTCACAAATGTGACCAGCTGTGACAAAGAAGAGGGAGGAATAACAAAATATACAAACCCTTTATTTTTTACTACAATTATAAGATGTTTGAATTATAATTTATTCGTCTTCAGGCGGCGGAGAGGCAGGCGGAGGGGGCGGGTCAGGACGATCGACTCCGAGTACACCTTCGACTCTGTCTCCCGGCGCGGCACTTTCAAGGGCACAATCGCTCTCCAGCGAAACACCGCTAGCTCCACTCACGCCTCTCCTCACCGGGTATGAAACAAAATTATTATATATATATATTTATATATGGAACAAGGGAATGCATGCATGGTATACATCGTGATATTGGGACATACGGTTAGAATAGTTAACTAATTCAATTATTAAATTTGCGACAAATTTAGGTCTTTGGACTCAGTAATATTCGTACCCTAACTTGGATAACTGATAAATCTTCTTTATTTGAAAGGAAAGGTTAATAGGGTAATAAAGTCTTTGTAGACTTTAGTTCATATAAATGTCTCTGGTACTGTTCAAGTCCGGTACGGTTATCAATCTCAATCCTGTTCGCCGTAAGCTTGATTGCCAGTTCTAATTAAAAAAATATTGAAATAGAATATGCAATTATAATACATCTGTAGAAACAGTTCTTTTATAATAATCTGTAGAATAAACCATGTCATATCTGTGCTATGATCTTAAAAAATCTTATCCATTTGTTTAAGAGAATCTAAAAGAGTAACATATTGGTATGAATTTAACCAGCCATATGGCATTTATATATTTACTCTTGGATTTTGATACGAATCTGTTTTTTTTTTTAGATAACAACTGTCAATGTATTTAGATTTCTATTACGGATTTCAATACTTGCTGAGATATTGAAAGTGACAGGTTTTGCAATTTATTAAATAATAATACTAATAGAGCTGAAATGATTTCTCATTTTTTATAGCAAGAAAATATGTAATCATAGAGCAATTATGTTGATTGTAATTTGCGTCAATAATCTAACAGGTCTTATATCAAACGGAAGTGATGTCCTTACATGGCCTTCCATTTAAGGCACACTATTGAGGACATCTGCATTATATGATACAATCACGAGTTCCCATCAGTATATACTTTAGTACTTTGTCACAGTGACATTAATGAGAATTCTGAACATTTTTATACATTACAGTTAAGAGTGTTGTTGTGACAAAGTGTAATATTGTTTACATACTAAAACATGATCATTGTATTAATTGGATTGGATAATAAATTAGTATTATTGCGCTATCGGAATTAAACTAATTATTAATTTGTTTAATTTAGCTATTAAAATAATACGAACAGTAGAATTAGTGTGAGACCACACATAATCTTTGAGCAGGTCAGACCACCTAGTAGTGGCGAACAGTTATATAATAATAAAAATACCCTTGGATAATACACACATTCATCATCATCGTTTTAAGTTAAGCAGAACTTGTGTTATGGGTAATAGACAACTGATATAAATACATATGTACAAACAATTATACTCACGAATACAAATTTTTGTACAGTGCGAGGTATCGAACCCGCGACCATCGGAAGTGAAGGGTGTGCTAAAGCACTAGACCACCGAAGCCGTCATATTGTATACTAATCCTAACAAATTAATAGTAGCTGATGAAATAAACTTCGGTAAAGCAATTAAGTAATGTAAATAATTGGAACCTCTTACATAAAAATTGATTGATTTTTGTATTGAATAAGTGTATAGTCATGTAAAATACTGAGGTACGATTTTTTTTTATTTATACTATACTTAAGGTTTGGGAATCATAGATTGGTATAAAATAACATTTATATATATGTAAAAATATTTGCTTATAGCAATTCAATGTAGCTATATTATTTAGTAGTACTAGTGCTTAATATTTATTTCAATTTTTTTTTGCCATGGCCGATACAGAGGTAAAGAGAAACCTTCGTCTGTCATCATCACCTTCCCCTATGTTTCATACTTCTATTTTTTTACCTGTTTTAATACCCCCGGTGTTGTCCCTTTCAGCCTCCGTATATCACCCGAAGGGAACCTTTCCAATGGCGACGATAAGAATAAGTTAGCTCATCAGCAAACCTACAGGTACTTTGTCATTCATACGTGCACGCCGTTCATATGCCACGCACTAACTCCTGTACATGTTTAATTAATTAACACTTAGATTTTTAATATTTATATTCCAAATATAGTATGTTAACCGACTAATCTTTAAGGATAAAATTATGCTTTGATATTTCCTATTAATTGGAACTAACGTTTTGTAATGTAAACAATATAATAATAAATTAGGTTTATATACTAATATAATAATTAATATTTATTATTTATTATCATAAAATAATCATATATATATATGTGGTCACTGCTCACTTCATTTGTAAAATATTTTTTGCAAACTATATATAACTATATATATACCACAATAAACAAAGTAATAGAAACTGTAATATAATTACATATACTGTGGACGAAAGAGGCTGACTAAGCTTATATTGTGACCGTAAGATATACACGTACAGTGCTGCTATACGTGTAATGACTATGTGACTTACTAACAGTGGTTAGTACGTCAGTTATATACCAAAGATTAGTGTTAAACTGTATATAAAATAAAAATAATATAGATCCGATTCTATGATAATGCCAGAACGTAAGAGTATGTTTCAATTGCAGAAAAAATCATATATTTTGGTATATATGCCGTGTTTAGCGACTTGAGACCAGATTCAATACCGACGTCGACGATAAAGTTTTCAAAACTATTTTTTTAATGTTTAATTTTTTTGTTACAAATGAATCGTGATGAATAAAGAAATTATATCAATGAAAATAACGAATATAACGAATCGCACTGAGATATCGATATAAAAAATAAAGTTTTCTAAACTCACAAAGTCTTAGACTTGTTTTACCCAGCTAATTGCGAGTAAATGTAATCCTAAGCTGTGGGAATGACTGATTACAGTTCCTAATTACCATACCACATCGTCTGGTACTTACGACTTTACTAGTTGAATATATTTGCTACGCATTAGCAATTGCGTCCGATAAGATCTTACCCGTCCGCGTGCTGTTCTAACAGAGTCGCGTCGTGTTAGTAATATATTAGTTACCAACTTATAGCGAATTAAATTCCAAACAGGTTTATGCTTTTAATACACTAATATACAAACGTTTCGGTAGATCTCTAAACACACATGGAAATAAAACACGATAATAACATCATATATAAATATTACAAATCTAAGTGTTATTAAAATATTTCGTACTAATAAACTATTTCAACCTGTATTTTAACATCTTACAGACAATACAAAGAAGCCTTAAGACAGCAACGCCAGCAAGACATTTACCGACCCCGAACGGACCAACACTCCCCAGAACTAGACTCCACTCCTCATTCCCAGAACCAAAGTCCGGTCCACTCGATGTCCTCCCCTCATTCACCAGTCAACGGCTACAGTAACGTATCACCTAGTCTTTACAACCGTACCTTATCTTCCAACTCTAGTATCTCTACCTCATCACCTAATTCATCTCAAGTGCCAAACTCCCCCCTCCTACATTCTACTCCAAGAAGGTTCCAGAATCAAAACGGGAATAGTGAGAAGGAAGAGAATAAACGGCCAGTTCAAAAAGTTGTACCATCGAGGAATGTGAACAAGATGTATTCAACTGTCAACGGAAACATAGACTACAATCGAGTTAACGGTTCAAACGAGATGTATATAAAACCAACATCACCTACGAAGTCTCCAACGAATACTTTAGGATACAATAGTATAGGAAAGTCGAGTATACCGAGGCAGGTGAACGGTGATAACCTTAAATTGCTAACGACAACCGTGTCGTATTTAAAAGGTGCAGCACCAAAACCTCCTGGCAAGATGGCGTGGACCAAGGACGCGGCTCCCGATAAACTCAGCTTCACTATGAAGAGGGAGTTCGATAAACAGAAAGAAGAAGAAGATCTGTTGCTTCAATTACGAACGGTAAACTTATTTTTTTATATTTATCCTAGCTTTATTGTGTTTAAATTACTACGTATATATACGTAATGTAACGCGAGAACAATTCAATTGGAATTTAATATTAAAAAAAACGGAAAATCTTCTAAAAATATCGGTGTTAGAAATTGTTTTACATATCTTTTTTATTGTCTATGTTTTTTATAATAAGTACATTGCTTTATACCTGACATTTATTTCACTCATTTCACCATATTCGTCATTGATCTCCTTCCTTTATAATTGGTTAATAAGACACAAACAATTATATGGACTCTATTATGGATTTCATGGATCCAAAGTTTTGTGTGTGCGAGTAATCGAACCTGCGACCATTGGAAGTAAAGCGGTGTGCTAAACCGAGGTCGTCGCCGATATATAGATAGTGAGACAGGTTGTAAAGTATAATTAACGGATACAGATAATCGAGAGCCGGCTGAAGATGTCGCTGCCGAGCGCGCTGCCGGCCGTGCTGGCGGACGGGGTCGTGTTGTGCCACCTCGCCAACCACGTGCGCCCGCGGGCCATCGCCTCCATACACGTGCCCTCTCCCGCGCAGGTATGATCCACAAAATTACATATACCCACTACGTACAAGTACTAAAACATCCGCGTTTGTAATATTAGAATAAAATACAGATAGTGTTTAGTGTAATGCAGTACTACACTGCACTGCACACTCTGTATCTTACTTCTTACTAATAGTATAAGTTTGTGAATATGAATGGATGGATGTTTGGTACTCTTTCATGCCAAAATCATTCCCGGTCGTCTTTATTAACACAGGTTAAGTAATTGTTACTATAGAAGTGGACATTGTCGTCTGAAAATAAATCTATACATATAAATAAAATTGGAGTGTCTGTTTGTAATATTGATATAACCGTTTTTACTACATGTATATGAATACGGTACATTCACCAAATTAACAGTTTTTATCATTTTTGTCTGTCTGTTTGTCGGGCTAATCTCTGAAATGGCTGGACCGATTTTGACGGAATTTTTATTGACAGTTAGCTGATGTTGGCTAAATACCAACTGTACTAATAACGTTCTATATTTTTATTTTTTTTTCATTATATGCTCCATTCAATATACTTGACAAATTTAATAACAAACTTATTTCTTTTCAGCCCAAATTAACAATGGCTAGATGCAGACGAAATGTTGATAATTTCTTGGAAGCGTGCCGTAAAATTGGAGTTGAAGAGGTAAGTCGCGTCTATTTATTATTCATGTTCATCATTATGTAATCTTTTATATTTTATTTAAATTTGTTATTTGTGAAAAATTACTTTAAAAAGATACGCGTGTAATTATATTCAAATTATATCATATTATAATTTATTTTATAACGACAATAATTTTTTGATAAAAATAAAGTTCAAAACATATGCGTTTTGTCATCCGATCATCACTTTCCCGATGTGTCTATACTATACCATTTGCCATGCAAACAGCATGTCGTTCCGAATGTTGCAGGGCGTGCGATATCGTTTCGCGAGCGCTACTCTTTTTGTAGATTGTGAAATTAAGAGACGGGTGGCGTGTGTTGCAGGAGGCCATCTGCTCGCCCGAAGACATTCTGGGGTTCCACCTGGAGGGCGGCGAGGGCGGCTCCCTCGCTTCCCTGGCGGCCACCCTCGCCGCCCTCGTCACCCTTACCACCCCTGCCACACACGCCACACATGCCACACTCGCCACGCCCTCGCTGCGCGACCCTAACGATATCCCATCACACCCCAATCACTGTGACCTCGACAACGACGGCGACGACACGGAATTTATCGAAGTCAACTACTACAAACGACAGATGAAGAGGTATTCCGAGGAACGATTCGTCAGCAATTTCAATAATCTCGAAAACGATACCATAGACGAAGCTGAGGAGTACCTACTCAACTATGAAAATAACAACATGGAATCGCAGAATGTTCAAGTACAGTATTCTCCAGTATACACAGAAGGATTGAGAAGCAGGGGACCATATTACCAAAAGAATAGAATTCAATTTGTAACGCCATTTTATAAAGATCATATACTTAAAAGCGAGAATTTCGAAATTTACGATACAGACGTAGTGGATTTTCCAATGGAATTGAGACAGGAGGAAATTGATGCGGCTAGATACGATAGGACAAAAATGAATCTCGATATTCAAAACAATTTGAACAGGGAATTGACAACAGAGACTGAGCCTGCTAGAGCTGATGAAGACGCCAACAGAGTATTTTACACTTGTCTATGCCTCGGCACATTTGTTGTGTCTACGATTTTGTTAATTTTATACCCTTTGTAAATTTATTTTCTGGATATTTTACCTTATACTCAGATACGTCTGTGGTGCAAATTAGATTGTATGAAGTTACGGACTGGTAGTGCACTATAGAATAGATATAATGCACATTGTGATGATAGATGGGTACGAAGAGTAGTATTATTGGTCGTGGTGTAGTTGAATAATTTCGAAGTATAGATTACCGCCTAGTATGAAATGGGGAAGTTAGCAAGGCTTTATTAACTGCGTTTACAATTTTTACATTCTTTATTAGTGTATACAATTTTTATTAATATTTAAACAATAATTGAAACATGGTCAAACTATGTTTTCAGAGTTCCATGGAATAAAGGAATAAAATTATGTCTTATTTCTATGTTTAAGGGGCATTCATTTTAATTTTATTTCTAACAAAGTTAGAAAAATAATAAAAAACAGCCTACTGTCGCAACAAAGAACAAGTGAAAGAAGAAGTGCACTAATTTTACATAAAAAAATAATCTCTTAGAACTTTATTTAATTGAACATGAAATTTTAATATTAGTAGGCTTGGAAAAGTATCCATTCATGTTTTGTAGGAACTTATTTTTTTTTACCAGTAAATCATGATCGTGTGAAAAGAACGCTTATGAATTTTTAAACCTGTGTAAAAGTACAAGTTTCTGGGGATCAAACAAATATAATCTTATTACATCATACTTTAGAAATATAGTATTAACATAGTTCTTTATTCCCTGGAATTTCAATTGAATGTAGTGCCGCTAATGCCTTATTCTGATCACAGTCTGACTGTGGTGAAGACCACTAGGTCTTATTAGAAATTTGGTCTATTTCTTGTCATATTGAATTTTTAAAAGTCTGATGCGAGGAATTTTTTAGGTTTAGAAATGGAGAGGCTAGTGTACTGTAGGGTTATTGCAGTTTCTTGACTGGTGTATAGACAGGATTTTAAATGTATACCAGAATGGAAGCTTCCATTATAAATGTCACAAGTTGGCGATTGGCGCGTAAGGTAGTTTATTTTATACTTGCGACTAGTCCCGGCTTCGCACGGATGCATTACATATCTTTGAATTTTCCTATTTTTTTAATTCCCTATGGTTTGTTCTATACTGTAACACACATGTTTTATACATATAAATCTTCCTCTTGAATTAGTCTTCTATTGCGGTTAACTGCATTCCGTAAATCCGTTGCGTAATTTAAAAGATGTATCAAAAGTTTACTATAAATTATTAGTTGTTAAAGGAAAATGACACTGTTGTTAAAACCTTTTTGTTGGGACTTTTCCCGAACAAAATGGCTTTAAGTAAATACATTGTAATTTCATTTTTAATTACCAATCCTTCGCAGTCGCTTCACATTAATCTTATTATTACTCGAATTATTATTATTATTGATTAAAAAATTACTGATGATGTATGATTCAACTTATTGCAAGTATCAACTAGTGTGAGTATTTTTACTGGAAGCTCTTTTTAAAAAGGGACTGTTTAATGAAAGTGTGGTGTGTTTTATCAGTAGAGAAGGTTTATGCAGATCTAGTGACTAATACAAGGGTGAACAATACGAAACAAATATTATGTTCTTGTTCCGAATTACCTGCATAACTATGCTATAGATTATAATTGATACGAATGAGGCTTTGATAAAATTGTTGTGTGCTGTTTATTGTAGTCGTGTAATTGGTATAGAAAATTCCAACATGATATAAATTCATTCCGATTAGATGCATTTAATTTTTTTCTTAGGTTAATTAGGTTTACGAATTTGTCTATTGGTTACGCCTAGTTGTCGAGGTTTATCTTTTTTTTTATGTACAAAAGATCTCAGTATTGTTGTTGTGTTCAAATGCTATATATTACGTGTCGTTTTAAAAGCGTTTTTTTTTATGTTTATACTTTGTTTAAAATTATATTGACATAATATGTAGATTACACGTATAGTAGTATATTTTGCACGAATTTAATTAAACTTTTGTAATATATTTTTATTTAAATGTTTTTGGAACAATAGTTTAACTGAAAGCACTTTTATATTTTTTCTTGGAGTTCCAATATCAGTACATAAGCGAAGGTTAATTATATCGACTTGAGGTAGTGTACACTAAATTAAATAAGAAGTTAGGCTTTCTTTTCTAAAGTAATATTTCCTATTTCTGCCAAAAATGTACCATTGTTCTGTTTTTTAATACAAAATTAGAATAATGATGTGGTGGTAGTATTTGAAATATAATATGGACACAAATAAATTGTGCATTCCAAGTGACGGTAAGCCTACAATATTAAAATTTTAATTTTCCCATTTGTTTTGAAAAATTGTGGTATTTTTGCCAACTGTACTTATACTGATTCAGAAATTGTTTTATTTTTTTTTCTTATAAATCAGTTATAGTTTATAAACAGATGTATACTTTTTTTGTTTAGTATTATATTATTAGTATTAGTTGCTTAAGAGTCTAGAGATAGATTTTAAGCCGTGGACAGAATGTTCTAATCTATAAAGTATACTTCCAATAAATGATATTCCAGAAAATTCCAATAACAGTACAATAAAAAACTTGTGAGACATTTGGTGCGTAAATTTATATGTGGACATGAAAACGTATAGGTAAACGGTATAGAGGTAATATTTGGTAATATATAAAAAAAAAATTTGATGGCTTAGCTGTTTAACCTTTACATTTCTTATCAAATAAGAATCGTATGCCTTAATCGAAACTTCATATCGTTATTGTATTATTAATGCAAAATTTATATCCGATGTATAGGATGAAAAATATATTTTCAAAAAAGTTCTTATTGTCAAAACATCTCTGTCATGAAAGAATGAGTACGATTAGAAAAATGAGACGTACTTAATTTTTTTTATTATATACATCGAGTATTAATGTCATAATTTATTGATATTCGTAGATCCTTTTTATGTATAAAATATGAGTGTATCGTTAAATATAAACATATTGTAAGTAAATTCAAATATTTATGCGAAAATATATCAATTAATAGTTCACCTGAACATGATGCTTGTGGATCACCCACAGTAATAAAAATTGAATAGTAATTTAAATTGAAATAAAGTTGACAAAAGATTTATTATTTACGTAATATTGTAGTTAACGATGCACTTCGTATGTATACATAAAAAAGGAGTTGTATTTATAATGTGGTGTAGAGTATTTAGACTGTAATTTTGAGGCTTTTTCGCGTAAAAATTCGATAAATTTATAAAAGACATTTTTATTTAAATATAAGTACAATAAGGTAAAAAGTATTCCTAAAAAGCCAACCGACTAACAAACGATGCCAAGAAACTTTATAAGATTTATACATGAAATATATAAATATACATTATATTACAGTACATTTATACCCAACATTAATTAGAATGTGGTAAATAATATGTAAGAATTGATTGTTTACACTATGTAACCAACTTAATTAACTACTACGGAATATGCAAATTGGTATAGTATGCGGTTATATACAAAATTATAATATATTGAACTTTATTTATAATGTAATACCGTATATAATTGACTGCGGCTATTATGCAGTATTCTAACAAATATAGAATTCCGTATCACTGAATAAATTGCACAATAAAATTAGTGAATGCAATAAGCAACAAATATAGTTGTATTATATTCCAATAAGATTTTAATATCATTCCAAAGAAGTTAAAGACTACACTCAGTAATATGTTTATAATGCACTATTTTAATACATTATATGCTAAGCTTTTCTTGTCTGGTATTCAGTATTATTTCTATTTATATATTTTTAATATTAACAATTTTCATTATGTAGCAGCTAATATTAAATTTTGTAATGAAATGTCCATAGATTCGGAAACAATATTAATTGTCATGGTCATGTTTATTGCAAAATTATATATATAGGCAGTATATATTAATTATGGTAGAAGATTATCCCATGGCAGACTTCATAATAGGCGACTGCGTCGATACCTCAAGCAGTCAAGCAGCTTGCTTTGTAAGCTGTGTCCACGTTGAAGGGTGAGATATAGTACCGAAATTACAGGATAAGGGACAATATATCTTACTACTCCGGAATGACAACACTCGAGTGGTATGACAAGTGCCACATGGTAATGTGATATTATTTAGTAAATAGTATCACGTATATCAGTCTTCGTCAGCTTATTTGCCATGAAAAAAATATTTAATTTATGTAAGAAATCTATTAAATTCTAATTATTATATGTTTCTCTATATTTATTCAGATTTTCCTTTAAATATTATATGAACACAAGTATGCAAACAGTGTTGATTCTTTGTATTTGAATATACTTATATCGCCTTCTAAGTCGCTTAAACTTTTCTGGTCACATTTCTTTATGAATAGCTATTGTCTACGCTTTTTATTATAGTTGTTTTCAGCTTTAAAGTCGCAAGTACAATGCTAATAATGATAAGTAATATAGATTAATATATAAATTATAGTGTATAATAACTTATTATTGGCTTAAGGTGCTTGGGTCCTTGTATTTGTACTTTGTAAGGCTGGTTTTAGTATTATTTTTTACTTTTTTCTTCGTCTTACTAATTTATTCTTATGTTAAAGCGTTGTAAGTTATATTTTGTAATGCTTTAAGATAATAATATAAATCTAAAGCTTTTTCAGCCATAGTAATTTTGTGTACGTAATTATTCCTTTATGATTGTTTTAAATGTTTTTGTGACAGTATTATTTTAGGTATTTTCTGTATTTAGTAAACTACATCGTGCAGTGCATTTTAATTTGTGATTGTATTTTTGTAGTAGATACTTACGGATATGTTTCTTTTATTATTTAAAATGTACTTACAATGTTTTCTCTACTAAAATACATTTATTATTGGCATACTGTGTTTTATTTTATAATATAGATATACCTTAGTTAAGTCCATTTTATATTTGTTTTTTTTTGCACAATAAACTTATTACCATTATTATTATTTGTAAAACAAAGTTTAAAAATCTGTATTTTTTTTGCATAGAAAACAAAAATCTCTCTTCATAATATTTAAAAAGCATCAATGTGGAAGTAAATCCTTCTTAATAAAAAACACAAACATATAGAATACTTATAGCATGTATCGTGACTTTATATGTGTGGAATCAATGTCTAATAAGTTACTTAAACGTCTTCTGTACGCTCTTGCGCTCCCATTCACACTTGTAACAGGGTCAAAATATTGGGAGCTCTTATAATAATGAATAATAATGAAAATATATACAGTATTTCTGTAACAAAAAGAAAACCATACTAGGTAACTAGTCTGGTTTTTCTAACACCAAAAGTTGTATTTAGCAACCAATACACATGGATATATTAGCTGAAGTATTTATAATTCTTTTACAGAAATTAATGTGCTGCGCAGCAGATGTTCTAGAAGGCAAAGGAACAGTCCAAGTAGCTATAACCGTAACCGAACTGCTCCGGCGTCACAACTCAACACGGGTCTCACCGCACCTCGCGTCAGTAGCGACGCCCGCGCACGCCACCTAGCGCCCGAAACTTGCGCTAGCGCCGCAATCTGCGTTATCTCTATAACTATCAGGCCAAAAACTATTGTATCCGGCTCGAAGGACCAGGTAATAAAGAATGAGACATAAATATGGATGTAAGTTTTTGTACCAAAAATATTTTGTGATTTATTGGAATGGAGGTAATAAATGTCGAAATGTTGTTTTATCGATGTGGTATTTGAATCTCACCTCTGTATAGAGGTTATGTTATTAGTATTTGCATTTGTTTGTCTACCATTTATTGTAGACAATGTACCAGTAGATAAGCTTCAGGAATTGTTATAATTTCAATACCACATTAAGATTTAACAGATCTTTTTGTTATGTAGAATGAAATAATATTCTAGTTCATCCAATTGTAATGTAAGCTATGTTATTTGTATTGAAAATTGATGCTGTATTAGTAATTATCTATATGTATTACTTGAAGACTACGAATTGTCATTTAAATTACGAAATATTTTTTTTTAAAGTATATGAACATATAGTTGGAGTAAATTTCGTAAATTTATGTGGATATAGCCTTGCCTTATTGCAAGGCAACATCGTGATGAATCGAAAAGCCTATTTGAAATCTTATTAACAATTAAACAATAATAACGTCTGAAAGAAATCATTTGTCGCAATGACTCATTACAATTATTTTATTTTGTATTGTATGTAATTTATACTTACTGACAATAAAAAGTTAACATTCAAATTATGACTTTACTTAAATTAAGTCACAATTTGACTAAATTTTTTATTGGAGAGATTTGGGTCGCTGTTTATGATGTTTATAATTGCGGCTTGCGAAGATTTCTTTCGTAGGTACGTTTCTATTTTGTACGCTATTATACATTACTATAGCTTCGTAGTAGTATTTACATTATTTAAAAATTCTCAGAATTTCATATGTTAAAACCATTTCAATGAAAAATCTCATGTGATTTCTTGGTGATCGTAAAAAATTATTTCATTATTATTGTGACGGGAAGACATTACCGTTTCTCTTTGTTTGAATAGATATTTTTTGTTTAGAAATTTGATAATGGATGACTAACACAATTATGATCTAAAATTCTAATGAAAATAATATTATCAGTATGTGTAACTTAGTGTAACAAGAGTTTTGAAAATTGAAACTGCTTTTCTTAATTTTCCACTTAGAAACGAGAAGTTGTACATTACTTGAAGTACATTTCAGCCAAAATCGACGTGGCAAAATATCTTTAAATCTCTCTGTAGTATACTTTTTATAAAATAAAAGGAAGATAAGAAGGAAGGAGGATAATTTCATTATTTGAAATTATTAAATAATATGAATTGGCATTAGTTGATTAGTCACAAATATTGTATGTACCAAATAGC